GTTGAAACGTTGACTGACGGTTTTATGGACGGAATTAAAGGCTTGGGACCGACGCTGCAACTACATATAAAGGTTTGGGACTTCGGCCGCAAAAATAAAAGGTTTGGGTGTAATCTGCAACAAAATGAAAGGTTTGGGACCACGGTCGCAATTTTTCCCTAAATAAATTATCATTTAGTGTATGAAATCCCGAGTTTTTATTTTATCAGTCCAATAATGCATGAAATTTGATATGCATATAATAAATTTGATTACAGCTAACTCATCAGGTGTGGCTCTTAATATTACCTGGAAAGATTTAATATGTTTGAAGCATACAATTCAAGTGATATTATCATGAAGGGGGGTAAATACGGATTGTACTTTTTTTCCTTGATCAATGTTTATCCTATTTTGTTTTCCTAATCAAGGATTTGTCCTATTGGATTTTTCTAATAAAGTTCTTAATGAGACAACTTTTATAGCGTATTTGAAAGAATAATGTAATCTTTTTCCTTAATTAAGATTTTCCCACATTGTTTTTCCTATTAAAGTTTAATGAGGCATAGTCTTTGTATCACAAATGTTTATAATCTATAAAATATTTACCTTCAAAATAATATTTTGATATGTATGAAACTTCCGAAGATATGAACAGAAGCTATTTTTTCGAATCATTATATTACTACATTTATCAAAGATTGATAAATATCTTATATGAAGACGGTATTATTGAAGACATTTCCGTACAAGACAATAACGAATTCATACAAGAAATAAAATCAGGGGGAGCAACTATTTTTTTTTCTTTAGCTCAAGTTTTGACCCATTCAATTTTTTTGACAAGATTTTAACAAGCCAAATATTTTGTAATACATCATTCGAGGGAGGGAGGGGTGTTCTAAATAATATGATTATTAGTGAATGACATTATACCCTTGTAGCCCTAGTTTTTATTACAATTGTATTCCTAATTTTTCCCTATAAATATGGAGTTTTGATTCTCAATATAATACATACAATTCTACTAACTTATATTATTTCTTCTCTTTTTCTCTATTTTCATAACAAGTATTCATTTTGAATTAAATTTTTATCCACCCTTTGAGTGAAATCAAACAAGGACTTAGTCCCCTTTTTCGACGGAGATCAAAATCAGATTTTTTTTATAGATTTTGAAAATGATGAAATGTATGATAAATATATAATTTAAATTAATTATTAATTTTGATTTGAATTAGAATCGACAGTTTAATTTCCTTCAAATCAGGGACTTAGTCAAATATGCCTGAATAAAGAATCACCGGTTAAGTAAATTTTATTGGGAAAAGAAAAAGAAAAAGAAAAAGAATTGGTTTCTTTCCAAACAAGAAAGTTATTTCGTGGATGTTATTCTATTATTTCGTATGGGATTAGGTTTCTAGAATCTGTAGGCTCTTTAACCAAATCCCCCATTTGATTTTGAATTAAATTTTTATCCACCCTTTGAGTGAAATCAAGCAAGGACTTAGTCCCCTTTTTCGACGGAGATCAAAGTCAGATTTTTTTTTGTAGATTTTGAAAATGATGAAAAGTACGATAAATATATAATTTAAATTAATTATTAATTTTGATTTGAATTAGAATCGACAGTTTAATTTCCTTCAAATCAGGGACTTAGTCAAAGAATTTTATTGGGAAAAGAAAAAGAAAAAGAATTGGTTTCTTTCCAAACAAGAAAGTTATTTCGTGGATGTTATTCTATTATTTCGTGTATGAATACCCTAATCCAAAGATCTTAGACTATCATAATAGTACTCAGTCTGGTTGGTTACGGCGAAACTCAGTTTCTATCAAATTAATTCAATTGAAATCCAATCTGCTGACTTTTTCTCACAGAGTGGACCCCACCAACAGAAGCATCTAACTAACGACTTTCATAGTCGCAGGTGAGAAATTTTTTTTTCCCATTACATATTCACAGTTTAATGATTTAAATAAGTGAAAAATCATTTTAATTTCTATCAAAACCATTTTTCATCAATGTAGAACCCCACACCTTTTAGATCAGTTAATTTGTCCCTGTTTAGTCTCCGTTTTCTAAGATTTATTTATATTCAAACTTATTTTCAACTACATATTTTTTCTAATAAAATAATTTTATGTATGAACTCATAATTTTTTTGTATTTTTTAACAGTACATTCTTTATAAAAATCATTTTTAACAAAAAAAAAAATTTTCAAAAAATTTGTATATAAAAAAAATAAAAACAAATAATATATATATATATATAAAACTTGATTGAAGTGTGTAAAATAGTGATTTGACTGATTCACATTTAAATGACATAATGATCAAAATTAAGTTGTACATTTTTGCTAACATTCCCTATATGTCAAAAATTTAACCAGTGATGTGAAAGGATAATGTAAAAATTAATGGCTATGATAGATTTCATGTCAAAAGATGTCAAACTTAGTTACCGTTGCCTTTTGACACATGTGACACAGATTCTGCAGCTTTCTTTAAAATAGTTACCGTTGGACCACGTAATGGTCAAAAAATGACTTTTAATCCAATTTTTAAGCAATCCCAGACAAGCCTTTAATTTAAAAATTATTGTACATGTAGCATGATTATAATAATCATAACATCTTGAAATCAAGGTCGATGCTTAATTTATAATTATTGAACTTTTCAACTAAAGTCATTTTTATAACTAAGTATAAGAAACGTATATATAAAGCAGTATTTTAAAATGCTTGAATATGTTTCACATATGCATGTATGCTCAATGCGTTTTCGAAATGTCTCGCATATGGGGGTATGCACATGATAATGCAGTCAACTTATTTTGTTGATAGTATATGCACGCTTAAACGCCAAAATTTGCATGCATTTGTATTAAAAATTATGTCAAAATTAGTCTAATGAAGCTAGCTCATTTTTATAACCTAAAAAAGAAAAAGAAAAACCAAATTTGCCTAAGTTACTCAAGCTCATGAATTATATGCTTGATAGGACTTCGACGTTAAGAAAATTAAAAATCAAATCAAATTTTTCATAGAGTTGCAAATTATTTACACCTGTTTAAAGTCTAATTTTAGATGGGATGTGATCCAAGCCTCCTTCGTCTTCGGCCTTTCTCTAATTTTACCAGCAAATGATGTTAGTAATGATGCACAATCTTGAATTGTTGTTGGTTGTGATGATGAAGATGAGGTTAATGATGACATCTTACCTCTACAAGCGGAACATAAATTCTCAAGTTGATTACCAAGTAATTGTAATATTTATAATTTTGAGCAATATGTTTTTGTTGAAAATTTGAAAAATATGCATAAAATTCAAAAAATTGTAGTATTTATGATTGTTTGTAATATATTTTTGTTGAAAATTTAAAGAATATATATAAAGTTTAAATAATTGTAATATTTATAATTTTGAGCAATATTTTTTTTTTATTTTGTGAAAATTAGAAAAAATAAGTATAATGTTCTTAATTTTAAAGATAATATTAAAAATTGAAAACTCATAATTCTATTTATGCTTCGCATAGACACACATACGCTTGTAATGCTTAATGTTCGAACGAAACGCATTACCACATATTATGCATTTTAGAACCTTGATATAAAGTAATACTAATAAAACTATAACAATCTTAATCAATAACTCATCCAGAAACGGTAATTAATTTTTCTAAAAATAATAATTTAACTCTAGAAACTTACGTGTGACCAGAATTCTAGAAACTCACGTGGGAATTACCGCGTGAATTGTGTGAATAACTAACGACGGTCAAATCTGCCATTGCCCCATTCCCTTTCATTTAAATATATAAGCCCTCTCCTTCCCCAACATACTGATCGACTCCCCCATTAAAGAAAACCCTCTTCCCATCTCTCTTTCTATACGTATACTTACAGTTACATATAAATATACATCGAAAGGTTTGAAGATGAACAAAATATCGGATGGTGAAGAGGAGCTCTGCGTTTGCCCGAGTTTCAACAGCTATTCGGCAGATAGGATTGCAGAAATTGCTAATGAATTCACCGGACTTAACACAAACGACGCTTTAGAAGATGAGAACTATGATGATGATTTTGAGTTTGCTTTGGTAGGTGAAAACCAAAGGTTTTCGGCTGAGGAATTCATCTATGGAGGCCAAATCAAGCAAGTGTTTCCCGTATTTAACCGCGATCTTTTTGTAAGTTATGACGATTTTGATAAAGGTTTGTCTGATGAAGGAGTGGAGAGTATTAGCATTCCATTGAAGGAGAAGTTTATGGAAAATCGCGAGAAGGAGTATCCTTCATCATCCTCATCGGATGCCGATGAATTGGAGATTATACCGTCGGGAACTTACTGCGTATGGAGGCCTAAAGTCTCTAAGTCATCGCCGAGTCAGTGTAAAAAGAGCAAGTCCACCGGATCGGGATCGGCATCGAAGCGGTGGAAGTTTCGAGATTTGCTCCGACGATGCAACAGCGAGGGGAAGGACTCTTTAGTCCTTTTAACACCCAAACACAAAGAAGAAAAACCAAAAGAAATTGAAAATTCAAAAAATTCAACTGCGAAGCGAGTCGTCTCCGGCGAGAAATCGGTGGCGAAATCACCTCACGAAGCATTGTATGTACAGAACAGAACAATAAGGGAAGGTGATAAGAAAAAATCGTATTTACCCTACAGGCAAGACCTGGTAGGATTTTTCCCTATCGCCAATGGATTGGGCAGGAGGAGTTTTCCAGCTTTCTAGAATTCGCATCGTTTTCGTAATATTTATTATTTTGTTGAGTAAATAAGTTTCCTTCCTGCAACAGAAAATGTCTATTCACGGAGGAAATGTACAGGCCTTAAAAGCAAATAAAAAATGATTATGAGATATTAAACGAAAGGATCATGCTACATGTACTAAATTTTTTTATTGAATTTTTTACTTACTACTCACAATGGAGATGTTGATCATATTGTCAGAATTTTTAAATACACGCAGACTCAGCACATTATGTGAGAAGGGATAATCCATTATGTATAAATGGATTAATCCTAAACGAAAACGAGGAGGAAAATGGATACGTTTTTATCTCCACACAATCTTGATTTTCGTCTTTCAAAAACTAGAAGATACCACGAGATGAAATAACAACAAAGACAATTTGAAACACAATCAAACCTTTTTGAATGTTTGATATCTTGTCTGACATTTTATCATTGGATTGTTTTTAAAAAAACAGTTAGTTTTTACCTCCAATCATACCCTTCCAACACTACATCTGTAATTTAGGTGGGCAACATTTTTTGGTAAAAAGCAAAATGGCTAAACTCTTGTTGGCTGGTTAGGGAGATACTATTTATATATCGAATAAATGACACTTGAAGCCAATAGAAATCGAGATTTTAAGAGCGTATGAACAAGTCTCGAATTGACATAAGCCTTTTTAGATTATTGAAAACCAAATGTTAAGAAACCTACTATTATTATTTTTTTTTTAATTTTTAATTTTTTAATTTTTTTTAATGTTTGTTTACCGAGTCCTATTCCAATTCGCCTTCCATTTCTTATAAACCATCCTTTTATAATTGTAAAAAATTGATTCAAATAGTGTACAATTGGTGAGGAAAATATGGAAACCAGTTGAGGCATATTCCGTAATTTATCTCCTCCAAGGTTTTAGGGGCAAGAGTTTTGAAGGTCTAGGATTTAGTTTGACAAAAAACTGGGACACCAGGGTATTAAAAAAAAAAGGATTCAAATGGTTAATCTTAACTTTGTTAAGAAGGCGGCTTAATTTTATGTCAGTGCCTTTATTTGACTTTTCTTTTTCTAGAAAGAGAGAATAAAGTGGAATCTTGAAAAGTAGTTGCGATCCGAAAAATTTCATTCGGCAACTAACACAACTCAATGGATTCTAAATTTATTCCACACCCCCCCCCCCACCCCCCCAAACACGTAACGAAAGCATGATTCTAAAAACAGAAAACTACACTTCTATTAAAAGGCATGACTGCATGAGCAATACAATAAAAACCATGAAATATTTACATCACGACTATGGTTAACAGCACCTAAACTACACAACATATTTTCTGCATAGTCAACGAAATGTTGCTAACAACGATAAAATTCCAAACAAGGATTAACAAAGACAAAATCCTTGTTCAAATTGATTTCCACAAAGAGTTTTGAGGAAAAAAGGAAACAATTCTCTTTTTCAATTGGTCTCATTTTCTCATGCAACTTTAGTCATTAGTCATTCACATTCTAAATTTTGCAATTAAGTCCTAAACACACTTTTCAATGTCAAATTTAACTCCCGAAACTTTTGAATTTTTATCAGAGTCACATCCTCTCTAAAATGTTATCTTATTTCTCTATCCAAGTACATAACTGATATAGATGAGTTCATCCGTCTTACTGATAATAAGACTGTTAATACAACTTTTAAGCTTAATGCTATGTATTCTCCTTATGATGGTTCTTCATTATCGGATTCTAGTTTATATAATATTGTTGTTGGTAGCTTAGTTTATCTCATCATTACTCGACTAGATATTATGCATGTTGTTAGTTAGTCAGTTTGTTAATTCACCTTCTACAATTTATTGGGCTATTGTCTGTTTTTTTTTTTTTTTAAGGTACCTTTTGGATATTCAGTTTCAGAGTCCTTTACTTTCGCCTACTTCATACTTGGAGTTGAGAAAATATTCTGATGCTGATTGGGCTAGTGATCCTACAAATCATGGGTTTACCACTAACTTTTGTATCTTTCTTGGCAATTCCCTTATTTTTTGAAAAAGTAAGAAGCAAGATATTGTTTGTAGATTTTTCACATAAGTATGAGTATCATGCTATGGCTTCTATTACTTATAAGATAGTTTGGTTGCTCTAGTAGTATATTTTTACGCTGACATTGTGACTATAAAAGTACTATTCAAATTGTGCACAATCAATATTCTTTAAAAGGATCAAACATATTGAGATTGATTGCCATATTAATCAACATCATCATCAGCTTAACACTCATGTTACCTTTTGTTCATTCCTCCATGCAGATTGTCGACGTGTTTACAAAGTCACATTCCACTTCATAGTTCCATTATTTGTTTAGCAGACTTTTGATGCTTCTTGCAATAGCATCATGAATTTGAACGAAGATGTTAAATATATTAGTTGTTTATCTTAAGGATATATTAATCTTTTTATTTATCAGCTAACAAGACTATTTAAAGATTATTTTTCTTATATTTTCATTAAGCAATTAATTAAAAAATCCTAACCTCCTTTCCTTTCGCCATATTTTGTTTATTGAGTTTAACAATTTTCTTTGGGGCAAATTAGGCCCAATACCCTAAAAATTTTATTAAATTGATTAATATCCTATTAACTAACTAAATCTTTTAAGTACGTAGTAATTAATACGTTATAAAACCCCCTAAAATCTCCCAAGCCCCTTAACACAGGCACGGAGGAATATGAATTATAGGTAATTCATGGGTGGGCTCCGTGTTTTCCTTCCCATTTTCCAGTAACTTCGAACAATTTATCAGAAAAATCAACTTCTAGTCATGGAAGCTTAAAACATATGCATAAAATTGTAAATACAGAACTAGAGAGTGCCTTGAAGTAAGAGATCCTTCATTGAAGGTAGGCGATGTTCGATTACAGGTTTTTGAGCTACGGAATCTTCGGTTCCTCATTCTTGAGATGTTGATCGGATTTCCTACTGAACAGTGTTTTCGACATCGATAAATATTTGCCACGTCGACATACTTCGTGAATTTTTGCATTATTGAGGGTTAAGTTTGAATAAAAATGAAAATTGCTTCACTTTTTAGCTGGGAAAATATTAGGATTCGGATTTCTCATTTTAAGAAAGCAAGAAACTATTTGAAGTAAACTCTGTCATTTGGAGATCAAGAAATTTTAAGCTCTCATTGCCAAAAAATTTTAAGTTGCCTGAAAAAGAACAATGAGATGCAAACTTTAGCATGTGGATTGTATAGCATTTTCAAATGATAAATTATTAAGCAAAGATCGGCAAAAGAGGTGCTCTGTTTGAGTGTTTTTCCAAGCTCCAACAAGGCGTTAAAATACCGAAAATGTTGAGATCAGATGACATAATCCCAATTCCCCTGTATAAACCTCATGGATATTATTACATTTCAAGTGCGTGCAATTTAACTTACTCAAACTCAATCGACATTCTCCCAAATATATACTATTTTAAAGAGTTTATTATGCCATCCTCTCTGGATTATGATGATGGTATGTGGAAGAAAATCAGGTGCTAAATCTTACACAAGATGATAGACTACATGCTAGTTCAACTTATTTTATTTTTGTTATTTTATTGAACTGATTCCATTGTTCTAATTGATTTTTTGTCACTTTTTTTAAAATTCAGTTATTTTTTTAGTGTTTGTAATTTTTTTGTCATTTAAAAATTTCGTCACTTTTTTGAGTGACAAACATCACTTTTTCATAAAATTGAATTGTATATTAAAAAGAGAAATTGTGTCACTTTTTAATAAAAAAAAGTGACTTGATTTTACATAGTATTTTTTTTTTTTTACTTATTTTCATGTCACTTTCTTGAAATGTTTGTCACTTTTTTGAGCGACAAATATCACGTTTTAATAAAAGTGACATTCTGTGTCTTTTGTTTTTTAATAAAAACGTGACACTTAACTTTAAAAAGTGACATTGAATACTTAATTTTACACAATATTTTCTATTTATAAAATACCTTTTGAAAGTTACGCAATTCGACCCTAACGATACCTAGAGGGGGTGAATAGGTATATTTTGCGGAATTAAAAATATTTTACGAATTAAACTGCAACAAGTCACTTTTTAAATTTTCTCTAAATGATTAAACGTGCAAGTCATTTTAGTCCTAAATTTGAATACCGTAGTTTATATGATCAATCAATAAATAATAACGAAAGCAGTAAATCAAAGCCATGATGATCACGGAGAAACTCAATTGGGAAAAACTCCGGGCACTTTGTCAGTCAACAATCTACTCTAAATGAGTTGAACAACTTACAGTCTATTAGACTAGATGATCTCGTACTATCTGATCACTCGACTGCACTCCTTACAGCTCTCCCTAGATCTCGTACTCCTTTGCATCAATCCTTAGCTGTTGTTGCCAAAACTCTCCGTAAAATCTGCTACCCTGTACCACTCCTAACCTTGTGGAATCGTCTATTTCCCATGGATCAACGAAGAATACCGCGCTCTTCACAAACTGGAACTCCAGTCAAACTTTCTCGATCTTCAAAACTCTGACCCGATGTAGAGAAAAGGCAGTTTGGCATTTAGATTATAGAAACGATATTTTTCTCACCAAAACAATCAAAGTAGATAAATGTTGAAAGAAAGAATCGAATCAATCTCTCACAAATGTAGCTCTCTCAATGTTCAACTCCATCAATTTTCATATAAAAGTATTTTTGTATATATATGTAGGTTAGAAAAATGAATGGGATAGGGAAAAGTCTTTAAATCGCGAAATAAAATTTTTTCGGATAAACCGTCGCTCGAGCAAGGGCTCATCGACAGTCGAGCGATAGACTGTCGTTCGAGCAAAGTGGGGGTGATAGTCTAGCAACAATGTTTATGCTTTTGTAGCTCTAGCCAAACTTTGGCGATAGTCTAGCGAAAATCCGTGCAGTTTTCCTCTTTTTGCCATCCTCAAACCCTAGACCTAATAACTCTATTTTCAACTATTTGCACATTACTCCTTGACC